TTTTTTTTTTTTTTTTTTGTTTACTTTTATCTTAAAGAAATATATTTTTACATTAAAATTTAAGGGTATTGAGCGAGGAATACAGCACGAATTATTTTTTAAATTTAATTCAATTAACTAAAATTTTATTTTAGTTTTCCATTATTAAAATATAAAGAGCACCAAAGAACAGTATTTATTAAGACTATAAAAAACTAAAAAACAAGGTAGAATTCTTTATCTGTCCTACACATATTGACCCACCTTTTTTACTACTTTTGTTTATTTTTTTTTGTTGAGCAGAACAGCTCACAGATTACATGGCCATCGTGCCGGATAGCTGTTGTTATCACCAACCGGAAGTAATTGCTTCCCCTTTTCGAAGAGATTACTGGCCTTCATTAACAACAACGACGGTTGTATGGACTACAGTACAAACAGAAGAACATGACAACATTGAGCAAATGCCCATCAAATGCCGTTTAGCTGCCCATAAATATTATCATCCAGGCTGTGAACGGGCACTGATGGCTTGGATACGCAGAACGGCAGACGTTCTGTTCGTATTATGCTATTGCGTCATATCTTTTTTAAAGTTGTGTTTTTTGGGTATCTTAAAGTAAGAAAAATACATCCAAGCATAAAAGCCCAACGCGTTAAAAAATAAATAATAAAAATTCGTACTTTTTCAGATATGAAATAAGAGAAATGATACAAAAAATTAAAATACTTCATGGAGATTCGGCTCGACTTGAACTAGTCAACATACCTCAAGCTACCGGAAAATTGTTACAAAAAGTCGAACACAACGGCAGTGTTATACGCGTGTCCACTATGAGACAAGATACTTTAACGGGCAAGTTTATTTTTAAAAGCTTGCACATTTTAGACCTAAACTAAATATGACCAAAAATACTTTCCTTAATGTAAAATTCAAATACAACTTTGCTACTTAACAAAATTAGTTTAATGGCTTATATCTAAATAATCATTTGAGCTACGTCTGATAATTGGACAAATTAACTATCTTTTGTTAGTATATCATAAAAAAAGTTTGCCTCAGTTCACATCATCCTAATCTAACTCATATGATTATATAAATTTATAAATTTAAAATGTAAACAAAACAGACGTTTTTATAAAATTTAACAAAAATCCTCACTATTCCTCATCATTCAAAACAAAAGAACAAACACCTTTTAAATGAAAAAAAACGATTTTATCAACGAATGTTAATAGGATATCTTATTACAAATTTTTCATTGAAAACATTCAGTCATTATTTTTAATTAAAATGATAAAATAATTTTGAAATAAAATAATTTTATGTGAATAGAGAATTTTAAAGATATTTCAGAGGCCCTTTCACAAAATAATTCATCAAAAAACGTTAAAAAAAAAAATTAATATAAAGACGAAATGAAAATCCGAGTTCTTAATATTTCTATGTACAATTATTTTAACCTTTAATTTAACAATATAGTATATCATCACATTTTTATTAGGAAGAAATTTTAACCACTGAATACAAATTCATCTCCTTATTTCTATTAAACTATTTATAAGATTAAGAGTATATTAAAAAAATGTTTATTTTCATGGAACTTAATACAGTATAAGCATAAAATAAATTAAGGACAATTTTTAGTTATTCAACATGTATACATTTTTATTTAAAGCTAATAACGGGAACATAAAAATAAAAGTATATGACTTTATTTTGTAAATTTATAAATTTGGTTAATTTTGTTTTACTTGTAGAAATACGAGATAAACAAAACAATAACATATGTGCAGGCCGCACAGACCTATTTGGCTCTTTTGTGCAAAAATTAAATCAGCCGACTCAAAAATTTTGCAATCGATCTATTTCAATTTTTAAAGATATTTTTAAAGCTAATCGCATTATAATTTTTGATAAAAAGAATCATTTACATTAAAATTCTACCCACAATTTTCTAAACCTTTGTTATTTAAACACCTGGTAAGCATTGAACTGCATTTATGTATTGTCAAATCACAAATAATATTACATTCCTTTAGTTTTCCAAGCAAATTAATTTACCTAAATTCACTGATTTTACAAGAATTTGAAATAAGTAATAGAACCAAATAATATAATTTGTTGGATAAATATTTCTTTAAAAATATTTTTTGATAATACGAAAAATTGTGAAATACATCTAAAATATTTTTAATTATCGCACTCCAAAAATTTATTTATTCTTTTTCAAACCTGCTTGTTGATAGAATTTACCAAGTTAGAAAAATATACTATACTAAAATTTTATAAAATTTTACTCGAATTAAAAATAGATCTACATTTTTTTTTTTAAATTCATAAACTAAAAAGGTAAAAAATTAATTAACTTAGCCAAAACATAAATCATAAATTTAATTCACAAAGTTTTTCTTGGAATTGGCAAATACATAGACATTTCAACGTGTCAAAATTTAAAATTATTGATGTAAAATTACAGAAGGGTGTTCCGAGGCGACAAAACCACTGATAAAAGGTCGTTCTGTAGAAGCGACCTTTAGGGTAAAGTCGGCAAATGTAGACGGCAATGAGTCGGATACAAACAGCCACAGCGCTTTGTTACTTTGCGATGACAAGCTATTGACAGGTTCATCGAGTAAAAGTAACTACGAACTTCACGAACTAAAAGACGTCAACCGGCTGTTAATCACAAGACATAAAAACCAAGTATGACTACGAAAATATGTGGCCGCTTGGTTCAGCGTGATCGACAAAAACACCTCTAAGTTTCCGTTGCTGGCTATGTCAAAACAATACAAGAGTTGTTGAAAATTAACCAATAAATCAACTCTAAGTTCACTCAATAATTATAACATTGTATAAGTACATATATAACTATTAATTATACAAAAACCCTTAAAGAAATCTCAACATATTGCTTTATTAGCAATCTGTTTTTGCTTGAATATAAATAAAATTATAACTTGTAATATACACCTAAATGTAAATATATAATAATGTATTCAATATGAGTAACGGTAAAATTATATAAATTGTATTTAATCAAGTGTACTTTTACTTAAAAAAGAAAACAAAATTTCAGAAGTATAAAAAAAACCTCGTCAAAACATTTTTTAACAGAATAACTATTACACAAATTGTGTTCACTGCGATAAGATAATTAACGCGTTGAATTGGGTAGATTAGATACATACGGTGCTATAACACTTCAATTCTTCAGTGGATTTTTTTTTTAAATACAGAATGTGTAAGCAAATTGAAATGATTGTTACTAAAAAGCTTTATTTTGTTTGCTTTATGCTTCGTGAACCACTTTAATCGTTTCCTTGTTACATACAATTCATCAAATTTTTTTTTTAATTTAATTTTATTATAGTTATAATATGTGACATTTTTTAAACTCTTAAAACTTTATTATTTAATTTTTTAGAATAAGTACTTAATCACAGACAAATAATAATAGACGATCGTTAAATGTATGTACTCTTAAAATAATGAAATTGTTCAAATTGTTCAACAAGAAAATTTAATAACTCAATTAAAAATTATTCTTAATTATTTTCTAAGTAACTAAATATTTAAAGACTAATTATTTTTTAGAGACTGAATTTATATAAAAAAAGGAATAAATTGTTTTTAAAATGTTTTTTTTTAAATGGATAAATTATAATATATGAAGTATAATCCTATTAAATAAAGGTACATATGAGTCTATGGGATCCACATTGATACATTTTCTTTAAATTAAAATTTTATAATATTCGGACAATTTTTTGAATAAAATATTTGTCATGATATATATTGATAAATATGTAATTGAAAATAAATTTTAATAGAGATGTATTTACAGGACCTACTTAAAAAGGACTCTACTATATTAAAATTAAAAATTTTTTATTTATTCTTGTTAAAATAGTGATTTAGAAATGCAGAAAGTCTCATACATCATAAGTTTTTGATCAATCAAATTATTTATCCACTGAAAAATATATTTTAATTCAATTCTTAACTCTTATAATTTAATAATCAAATTAATAAAACCAAAACTCAGAAATTAAAAACAATGATAGTCAATTTTAAAAAAATAAACATGAAGTTCAATAGATACTAAATATATCAAAATGATTATTATTTATATACTGTTATAGTCTGTACAGCCTAAGAACAAATAACTTACATAATGTGATTTAAAAGTCTAAATTCTTTAAATTAATTCATTTTATTTAAGTTAACTACCTAATAAGTGATTAAAATGTAATATAAATCTAATCTCAAATAATTAAAAAAATATATATTGGTTTTTAACATTTATTTTCTAAATGTAAAATAATGATTAACTTAATATTTTAAGGTTAACCAAGTCCAAAATAATATTTTTTTAAGTTATTATTTTATCAACAGTCTATATAATTAAGTACCAAAATATTAAAATACTTTTCTTAGTCTTAAACTAAAATAATCTATATATTTTGTATAAATTTTAGTTCCTAATTTTTTTTGTTGAAATTAATTAATAAAAATTTTTTATTTTGAAATTATAGTATGCAATAATTCTATACACCTAAAATGTTTACTTGTCGGTATCATTATTTTACCATACTTTTTATAATATAACAAGTATATAATGTTAATATTATTAACCTTATGTTTAAATAATACACTTTTTCATTGCTTTCAAAATGTGTCTAATACAATCATTGACCATGTTTAAATGTAAATAAGAAAAAATATATGCTGTATTAGAAACCTATGGTTGATATTTAATTTGTTATACAATTATATAATACAATGTTGTACAATAAAATATAAACAAAAAGAATCTTTTTTTTAAACCAATCCCATTAACACTTTTTGAGTCAATTTAAAAAAAATTTATATAATTATATATAAAAAGTGTTCTCTGATTTGTTGCCAAATTTTAATTCAAATAATAATTTTTGATCTAGAAAATATTTTTTATTTTTAAAGTTTTGAACTATGTTTAAATGATATTTTTTATTATTTAAGAAAAAAGTAATTTTTTTTATTTTTTCAAAATTTCTATATAACCAAGATTTTGATGGTATGATAACTTTAGAATAAATACTTATTGAATTACAAGCATTTTAATAGAAGAGTGAATGTTTAGTGTGGGTGGAGTATGCATTATAAATATACACTAGTACGAGCTGTACCCACTATTAAATCTAACAACTAATTAAAATAATTTTATTAATAATTAATAAAAAAATGATATAATATTTTCTTATTATTCAAAAATATGATAATAGATAATTTATTAACATATTATATAGATTTAATTCATCAATAAAGTATGGAAAAAAATATTATTGATATTATTATTAATTAATTTAGAATAATATCATTATTAATTTAGAAAATAATAAAAATCATACTATTTAAATATTTTTTTCTCATAATGCAAATAAAAATATTTTCTTCAAAATATTTATCGATATAGATTTGTTTATACATTCATTTTATTTTAAATATTTTTGCAATAATTGATATTTTGGAAAATAATGGAATTGAAAATTTTTTTTTTTATTCCTATTAACTATGTACTTTTTATGGTATATGCTACTGCTTACCTTAATGTCTTCTTTAACCTGAAGTACATAATCAACATTACTTCCACCAATAACAACCTATATAAATAAATGTCTTTAAAAAAATTGCCTATATTGTGTTGTTTTACATTATTGAACATTTCTAATTATAATTGACCAATTTTACAATTTATTGTAAAACATTATATAAATTACAAATACAAAGTTCACTGTGTGTTTATATAATATAAATATATACAAAATGATTGGTTTATCATATTCAAAGGTTATTAGCATTCTAAAATATAGACTGAAGGTAAAACATGGTTGTTGCTATTTTTATCATTAGACATTTCTTGGGCTCAATCTTACTTATTTGAGTAATGTTTTTAATTAGATCATCTTCTATTTTTTAATCTAGTTACTTTTGCATGTTGTCATTAAAAAAAATTAAGTTATCAGCCCTTTAAGTTAAAAGGGATCAATTTGAAAAGTAATTAGTAATTGATAAATCAAAAAACACACGAAACTATAAAAAACCACACAATTTTTTTTTAATATTGTATTTATTTTACAAATAATCAAATGGTTTATGATAAACTGATCACTCTATTAAGAAAACATTGACATGAGTTATCTTGTGAGAGAAAACAAGTTTCATATTAATTACTTACAGGTGAATTTATTTTTTTTTCTTTGAGTATTGCTAGGCTATTTATTTGGTTTTGATTTTTTTTTACATTTTTTGAGTAGTATTCATTTGCAATTTTACTGCCAATAGTAGCATTATTTTTCAATAATAATATGTCTAAAAATTATTATACAGAAATGCAGAAATTTCATAAAAATTACAAATGTGATAAATTCATACTAGTTTCCATTGACAGTCCAGCGGTAACCCTATTGATTTCACTTAAAACAAAAGGTGTAATATGTTTACCATGAATTCCTTTCTCATTGCATATTTGTAATGCATTTTGAATTGCTAAATCAATATCTTTCTCTTAAAAAAAAAATTATTCAACAAAATTATTAGAAAAAAAAGATGAGTACTACTATCTTAAAAATTGATCATTAAAAACACTAAAACTTTATGTCACATAAACCCAATAAACCCATCTAAACATTACATTAAGAAAAACCAGTTTCTTTCCTAATCTACTTTAATTTCTTTGTATTAGAAGTAGAAAAATGTATACAAAATTAAATAAATATTTAAAATTATTTCTATTTAGATTAATATTTCCTTTTTTATGAAAATATTTCCATTGTGGTTTCCCTTACTTAGAACATTCCTTCCTACAAGTCTTTAATCTTAAATTATTTATTATTTTTTGTTTTAAATACAGTGAAAATATAAAAGTATGAAATACATGAATTTTGAAAAACATTAACCCAAGAGTTTTTTTAACTGATTTGTTGTAAAATAAAATTCTTTGAAAAATATTTACATTTTTAATCTGAGTGAGAATATGATCACAATTGTAAATTACTAATAATTAGTTGGGTTGATAAAAATTTATTTCACTTACACCTCTTTTCCAAACTATATTTTAAAACATTAATATCTTCTAGAAAACAGGATATAAGTTTTTCATCATCTAGTAATTTTTTTCACATGGTCATTTAATAATTTGTATAATTTGAAATATTACTTAGTAATATATTACTAATATCAATCCACAGATTGAAACCATGGAGAGAGATATTTAATAAGAAAAATAGCTATATAACTTTATTAAATATGGACAATTCAAATTTATGTGTCTAATTTAAAAATTTTCCCAATTATAATTTAAAATATTTCTAAATTTTTTAAAATTATGGACTACACAATCGCTATTTAACATATTACAATAATTAATTACTAAAAACTTTCTAAAATATTTACTATTTATTTTTTCCACGGGAACAGGGACAGCCAATAAAATACCAGAACCTGTATTTTGACAATTTTCTAAAAGTCTAGCTGCTTCAACAGGTGATTTTACATCACATACAGTTTTATACCCACTTTTCTTTGTATAAAATGCTGGAAATTCACCCTCAGAGTTATAAGAAGCAACACAAACACCAACAGTTTCCTAACAAAATAAAATAAGTTTTATTATTATTAGACATGTTAATTTTAAATAAGTAAGAAATGTTCATTCCTACAAGATATTCTAAAGTTCGCCCAATATCTAAAATAGATTTAACACCAGCTGATACAACCATTATATTGCACTTTGACAATTCCAATAAATCAGCACTGATATCAAGTGAATTTTGACCATCAATATGTACTCCACCAATACCACCTAAAATAAAATACAGATTGGTATATTTTATGCCCTGGAGCAAAAAATTATTTTTTTCTGTTCATTTTTTTTTTTTTTTTGTAAGACTGATACTTTTTGATAAATCAAAGTATATTTCAAAAATATAAAAATTTTATTTTAATTTACTTAAATTTATTAATACCACAACCAATATTAAATTTTTTATCAAGAGCAATTTGAATTGAAATTTATTTTGGTCATATTAATATTTTTAAATAAAAATGTATTTACCAGTAACAAAAATTTTAATGCCTAATGATTTAGCAATGACCAACGTTCCAGACACAGTTGTTCCACCATTTAAACCCTATATAAATAAATTAAATTGTATAAAAAAATTACTTATTTTTTAAATAAAGTTGATCATACAATTAAAGTAAACCTAAAAATTTCAAAATGTAACCAAAGGTTGAATTTTATTTACTTGACTAAGAACATAAGGAAAATCCCTTCTAGAGACTTTTACTGTTTTTTTTTCAGAAGGAATCCCAAGCAAATTTATTTGTTCAGAAACTAAACCCACTTTTACTTGACCATCAACTACAGCAACTGTAGCAGGAACAATGCCCTAATTTACAATATTACAATAAACAAATTTTATTAGAAAATTTATTAGTAAGATTTATGAGAAATACTAAAATTTACATGAGCTTTTATGATATCTTCCATTTCTAATGCGGTACTGATATTATGTGGATAAGGTAACCCATGTGTAATGACGGCTGACTCTAAAGCTATCACTGGTCTACAATTATTTAATGCATTCTTTACTTCAGGTGATATATCTATTGAAGCTTTAGAAAAACAACGATATATAGATCGAAAATGACAATTCATTTTTACTTGAATTTTTGACAAAAATTTTGAATCAATGAAACATATTAAGAGCTAATTAAAATCGTATATTTTAAATTGAAATTTACTATTGATCACTCTTGTATTGTAACTGTCAAAACTTATACCATAATTTCAATTTAATATCAAATCAAAGCTCATATATTCATTATTGTAGATAGGCATGTAGATAAGCTCACTTATCTTAATATTTACTTCTTAATATTTATATTTTAAACGTAACATTTAATCTGTATTAATCAAGGTTACCGAACATTTTACCAATAGGTTTTCTTCAGTTAACTAGTTACATAATAATATATTAATATTTATTTAGGATTGTTTCGGTTGCTGTTAGTTTAAATTTATGTATTTTAGTAGAATGTTTAGTTTTTTTTAACATGTTATATTGAAATAAATGTATATATTAATAAAATATGTTGATATAATATTTTTATTAAATTTGTATAAAAATGTTCGAGTTTTTCAACAACTTTTCGTTTATAGGCTATATATATATATAGTATGACATAATTTCAATATATAAGAAAATTGAATATAAAAATATTAATATATATTAGTATAATAATTATATAAAAATTAATAACTTATACAATTCGAACAGTTTTTAATTTTAATTTTGATTTTAATTCTTACTTTACAACTATAGTTACGAAAAGTTGATTATGTTAATTAATATAAATCGTATATTATAGGTGTGGAATCAATCATTACTTATGAGTTGACTAAATTATATTTTCTTTTTTTGCAATCCCAAAAAATATCCAATATTAAGTTATTGTGAGGTCAAAGAAAAAAAAGTGAAAAAAATGACAAAATTTACGTCAAAAGATCACAAATCGTATCTAGTTGAAGTCATTACCCTTAAAAATTGAAAAAAATTCCCTCATTCCCCGCAAATGGGGAAAATATCCAAAAAAATTACAATTTTAAAAATCGGTAAATTTTGTCAATTTTTTCACTTTTTTTTCTTAAAACTTCCATAACTTTTTGAAAAATCAACAAATCAACATAATTTTTTTTTATACTAAAACCTTAGATATTTCCCTTTCATTTGATATTATTTTTTTGAAAATCTAACACTTAAACTGCTCATTGAGGGGGATTTAAAATAGCAACTTTTTTACAAAAACTAACTTTTTCAACTTAATTTTTGAAAATGTTCCGGAAATACTACGTCCTTTAAACATATATCAAATTAAAGCTTATTTTATGTGCTATAAAATGAAAAAAAAAAATTTGTCCCGACACTTTTTTTTCTACATTTAAACGGCTGCCGTAGTTAAAAAAACACTATTTTTTAGTTAAAATTTTCGATTTTAAATTTTCAACTTAATTATGCTATAACTTTTTGAAAAATGTATATATCAGCACAAATTTTTTTTTCTAATTACATTATAAGTACATCTTTCATTTGACATACTTTTTATTAAAATTGGACAATTTCCCCTTATATAGGGGGCGTTCAAAACTTAAAATATTGTAAAAAACATAGATCTTTTTCAACTAAACTTTTGAAAATGTTCCGGAAATACTGCGTCCTTTAAACATATATTCATATATAATTATTCATATATTATATTTTAAAATCAAAGAACTACTAATTAGGATATAATCAAAGAAATAAGAGTTGATGTTGCTTTTGGAATAATCCACCAATTTCTCTAAATGAAACACTATCTACAGATTTGCATCGAAGCGTTTCTTATGATAGTGATTTTAATCACTGTCAGATATCATCTATACTTGTCCCATCTATGCCTCGTCTACACTGTGCCTCGACCCCACTGTGCTACCGTTTTT